TTACGGTGGTTTTCTCTGGCCGCCCGAAAGTTTTTTGACAGCAACATGGTTTCAGGAGTGTGCGATAATAATGTCATTAGGTGTAGATTGATTCGGCAAGGCCGGGCGATAATGATCACAAGACTGATCAGAAGACACTCTGATTTGAGGGCAGATTGTTTAAGCCCGCATGTTGGACAAGCTAGGGACAGCCAGACAGACTTTTTGCACCAGTTGGCTGTTTTTTTCTATCTGGTGCAAAGTACAATATACCTAGGACTGGAAACAAATTCCCACATTTTTTCCCACCCGCTCTTGTCCGTGTTGTTTCTCCCCTTTTTCCCATTTAACGTGAAACATTTTTGTGTGCCATTACTGACTGTCATCCTTGCAGTCATCGACCCGAGTGAACCAACCTTCGTTAGTTGGAACGGTGCAGACACGGAGATAACTTTTGGACAGATGCCGATGCGTTTGCACTCGGTTTGCAGTGCAAACAGCTGTTGATGAGTTATCACAAGCATACAAGTAAAAATGCAGCATTTGAGGCCGAAACACTATCTCAGCTCCTTTGAAACGATGGCCGTTGTCTGCCAGGCAGTGGACCGCGACTCGAACTTTGAATAAGCCGCTCATTGCCATTAGACTGATGTTGTTCTAAAATTGGATCTTACTCAGTCATCAAGGTGTCTATTAAGACAGATCTGCTCGTAAAATACCTTTTAGAAAAAGACCTTTTTGGAATGTCAGATGTCTCGTCGAAGAAGAGTTTTCTGGACGGTTGTCGTGGTCAGTGAGAACCACTGTTAACCACATCTGAGCTGGAGATAGCTCAATGGCTAGGACGCTTAATCACTGAAGGAAAGGCTCGTGGTTGTGGGCCAACTCTGTCCCATTGACTGCTCCTCTCTAATCTTGAGTAACCTGGATGCATCTCGACTCTCGAGTTTCCGACACAGCAACTAGGCCCTGAAACGGAGGTTACAAGTGGACGCCTACAATGGGTTAATGAGAAGTCTATCTTGGCCATCACTAACGTGTAATCTTTGGAGCGCCAACAAGCCTCGAGTTGAAATCACATAAGCAGGCGATCATAATAACGACAACAATGTAGCTGTTAAAAACCGGATACATGACACCTGTGGCTTCCAAGCAGCTTATATGTTTGGACAAATATACTTGGCTTAACTATCGATTGATCACACCAAGCAAAATTAGAGGGAGTCTGGTAAAAAGTAACAGTATTAGTGCTGATACTGATCTATTCAGTGACAAACGGAGTTTTCAATACTGAGAATCCTTTTGACGATAGCTTTACAGTCATCTTTCTTGTTTGAATTATTTGATTGGCTCTAAACAGAGGGCCTTTTTGGGATTACCATTGTGGTGTCCGATTGGCAGCCTCGCTTTCGAACAGGCTTTTTCCGGGACACTTCAGCTTGCGTCTTCACGAAAAAAGGCACACAGGTCAAATCAATTTGATTTTCGCAAGAGACTCAACTGAATCTACAACTGAATGTGCTGCACACAGGCCGCCTCATGTTTCAGTTGGAACGATTTTCGAGATATCGCAGTACGTTTTTCATGAAGGAAACTACCAACAAGGTTGCTGAAAATGTCGAAGAGTTTTAAGCAACCTTTTAAGTAGGCGTTTTCCTTCTTCAAACTTTGCAGTTGATGTGCGCGTTGTTGTCAACCTGGCACTCCGGCAGAACTCTTCTGTAGTGGTTTCCTATACTTTCTCAAACACAAATGTTCAACACACTGCTCATTTCTATCTTGGAAGGTGATTTGAAGTAGTTCGCGCCTAGAATCTGCTGGGCGTGGTTTGTCCCAAAAGGCATCTTCCGACTAAAGGCTTGTTAATAAATTATGGTATAGCTCATGTGCTATTTTAACTTGACGGTTAGTAGGCTTTAGCTCATTTTGATTGTTCTTGTAGAATAACACTTTTCTGACGTAACTAAAAACTGCTTAGCCCGGAGTAGCATACTTTAATCGTCAGGTGTTACACAGAAAGCTCCGTCGGGCGCTTGTCAGACAATCCCAGAAAGGTCAGATTCTTGAAAGTATTCCTAGAATGTCCGAAACTTACTGGGACCATCCAAATCGCAGTAGGGAAGCCGTCAACCCCCAAAGTCAGAAAATCCAGCTGCCGATTGGACGCTCAAGTAGTCAATCAATTCAGCAACGGCAGATGATGATGAGTGTTCAGGCATGTCATAGAAGCACGGCTGACGTGATGAGTATTCAGGCATGTCATAGAAGTAACGCCCGACGATGGTGAGTGTTCACCCAGCACTGACCGGACAGTTTGGATTCAAGGTCAAAAGTGCGCTTCAAATACAGCGATGCCTCTTGTAACGTTTGCCCTCGCTTGTTTTCAATAAAGTTGCTGTCTACCTTGTTGGAGAATCGTTTTATGAACATTCAGGCACTTCAGCGTCAATTGCGGTTAGTTAGAACAGAAAATCTATCCAAATCCCGCTGATCTTCCACTATGGACATGCTGTTTGAGCTCAAAATCGGTTCTTCTTTCCTTTCTGTGTCTTTTTTACATATCCACTAAATTTTCACCATGATTCACCGTCACCGAACCTTTCCAGTTAGACATAGTTGAATGGAACAGGTAGATAAGCTTGTCATACAGCGCCAGAAATCTGCCATTGTTCATTTTCCGTGGCCTAGATGTACTAGTATGATGAGGGCACTCCAATCAGAATCGCGGAGATCTTCTGCTAAGTGAGCAGCAATTTTCTTCCGGGACAAGCGTGGCAAATGAACAACTGGGACGTGTGTCCATGTGCGTACCTAGGGTCAACAGTTTTTATCACAGAAACGCTCGTAGCGGTTACACTCACCCGAACTATCAATATCTTACATTATTACCAAAATTTCTGCTTACTGACGGGTTAAAGCTTCGGCCGCGACGTTATGACTGCTGAAATCCCTCTCGATTGAATTGGTACTCATTCCAGCTTCTCTAGCTTCCGACTTGGAACAATGATAGTTCAGAATACTCATCCGCTGTGTATAACCCAACACAAAATTTGACTCTTTGTTACTCCTAAACCTTTCCGAATGCACAGAAAACCCTCACCAGTCCTGACTGTACCTGGTAACTTCTTTTTTACACGTGACACACAAACTGCTTCTGCAAGTAATCGGGTTTTTAACAAGTATCCCGTACTTTAAATGGCATGTTTCACACTAACCTACAGTAAGATTCACGTGATCTAGTGGGAATAACTCGCTGACAGTCGTTATGAAACGAAACATGAAACTAACTGTAAAACTGTCTTCAAAATTTTCATGAAGGAAACTACTCACAATGTTGCTGAAAGCTCTTCGACAGACCACGGCTGGTTTCGCCCTTCTTGGGGCTCATCAGGTAAGCGCAGTCACCGAGTTTCCGTCAACCTTATGTCTTCAAACCTTCTGTGAGTCGAAGAAAACGTAGGTTTTGCCAATACTTTGTTATATTGAATTTCTCTAGTGTCTTTAGTTGAGGCGCTGTCCCAAAGTTTATCGCGCTAGCAAAGATTGTTTCTGGGATCGACTTAATTGACACTTATCATTCTATGCACCTGATTGTAATGATACGTGTGATTGGTTTCATCATCAACGTGAATCCCATCAGTGACACTTTCGTCTGACTTTTTACCACAGGGTGCTAACATGCGCACACTGGTCTAATAATTGGGCCATAGTTTGCCAGATATCGAATATTCCACTAACTTTTTACCCTCAATGTGTCCATAAGGCTAGAACGACACAATCGGAAGGATATGAGGTTGACGGAAAACTTTGCTCTCTATGAATCGGGTGCGCTTATTCCTCACTAATTCTATTCAACCCCCAACTGACCTCTGCGGGTAACTGGGTACTGAGCGATGGGAGTTAAAAGTACTGTCAATAATTGTGCCTTCCGATGCAAAATCCACCACCAAGAATACTTGGTAGGAGCCCTCTGAGGATAAAACGAGAGAGTTACGGCGAAACATCGTTGGAATGGCAGAGAACAGAGTGACTGGGTTGAGGTTACGTTCGTATGTGAATGAGGGAAGGTTGAATAGCCAAAGGAGTTCAGCGACGACCTGTTCTGGGAAAAAAAGCGGAGAAATGTGTTCGGTTTTACGATGCTTTGGAAAGCAATAATCAGGGTGACTGAGTAGTCATTGCCCGGTCAGACGATGCCAAGCGAGGACAAGAGGAAAACTCCTGTGATGACCTTCACTGGTAATACGGATTAAGGAAAGCGAGAGGAGATGGGAAGATGCTTGTAATTTATGGATCATGGAAGGCGGTTGTACGGAGTAGTACGTAAGGAGGATGACGGCAAAGACCTTAGCGTGCAAAAAAAAACACAAAGCTTGTTCGTGAGTCTAGTAAAGAGGTTGAAATGACTCTGATAAAAACTCCGGTTGTTTACTTTGGGGAATTTGTAATTCAGTGCAGTGATGTCATATACAGGGTGGTTGCGTAGCCGGAATGGAGCTGTGCGTTAAAATCAATGGTTATCGTTGTCCCTAAGGCTGGAAGAGGTTCCCGGGGAGTGAATTATGAGAGGAATAGGATAGGAGAGAAAGAGATAGTGGATTCTGCGAGATTTCACAGCTGGCGTTCTGGGCCTCGGTACAACACCGTCTGCTCCAACTTCACAGAGCGATCAAGTGGAAAGCCTCTCCAACCGACCAAGTCTGGATACGCAAAGGGAGGTTGGCGAGGAGTTTTGCCTTTTAAATCCCAGAAACACCTATGAGGGTCACCATTCTGTCACTCCGAACTGGTGGTGGACTCAACAGAAATGGGATCTGATTTCCTCACTCTATGCTAGAGCAAACGAAATTCATCCACACTAACTTCATGACAAGGAGTTGGGCTAAACCGGTCTACGCTTAATATCAAATGTATCCACCTCATCTAGTTGAATGAGTCCAGTACAAGGTAAATAAGGACTGAATAGAAATCTTGGTAAAAACATTCACAAGCTGCTTTCTTTCTCCTTTTGTCCTTACTAGAGTGGCTTCACTCCTTTGCACATTGCTGCACACTACGGTAACGTGAACATGACCGAACTGCTCATTGCGAGAGGTGCCAATATCAATTTCCAAGCCAAGGTACGTTGCACTTTTGCCTGTGGGTTTTTCTAAACAAAGGTTACTTTTTCAGTCTGTCGGTTTTCACCCATTCCTACTAGTGTGGCACTGAACGGGAAACGTTCACATCACTTTCTTTTGAACGGTCCCCTTCCTTTCCTGAAGTGTGAGTCTACATCAAAGAAAGGGAGAACTCGACTCGAGTTTTGCTCCCAGTAGAGGTCATGAGCGTCGCATATTCTCGGCCGTGCTGAGGTCAAGCTCCGGACACCTGTTACCACTTCTTCACCAGCGCAGGCTGGACTCACCTAGGTGATCACTTCTGACCAGGCAAACGTGCTCACGCCTGAGCGATATGACACTGCCGGAAGCATATCTTTCAACTGCGTACATTAAACAAGATAGCCAGAAAGAAGTACATCTAGTGAGTTCGTGTAGGTTTCCTGATGATAAGTTATCGTACGAGAAATTAGCTACGTTAAAGTTTCTGCCTTGGTAAAGTCGAGCGGCGTCCGGTTGTAAATCAGTTCAAGAAAACCACATTGTTCATCAACCAGCCGTGACTTGACAGAAATGTCCAACCTGTCTGTCGAATTTCGCTTGTTCAGATTTCCTTCGGGGTGTGCACCTGAGCCAATCGTAAATAAAAACCAAAGAGATGAATGGTAACTCTCGACTCTTCCGGATGGATTATCCGACCATTTTCGAGTTGAAACGGTCCTCTGTAGTTTGTCGTTCAGCTTTTCAGTGAATTTATGCTCAATAAAGTAACAAACCCCAGATTAACCGTGAAGATTCGTGGAGCTAACTGCCCCCAAAATGTCTGATAACCTAAAACTTGTTTGATAAAAAGAGTGATATTGATATAAACTGGTAGCCAATTCTTGGAGCGATGAAAGGGTCAAGTAAACTGTAACCTGGAAGATGATTCATACCGATGAAAGCCGATTCAGCGATCCCACTAACCATAGCTTCTAGTGGGTTCTCCGCAATTCCTCTTGATTGCTTTTTCCCATTACATCAGTTCTTCATGTTCTCTTTCCTTTACACATGAAAACGGACTAATTTCTTCTCAGTGCACAGCGGTCATGCGACCTGAAATCGCCATGCACGACGTTTGCGTAGAGCAAAGCGAGAAAGTTAAAATATAGCCTACGGGTTTAGGGTGCTAAATAGAAAATTACAACTCATTGAGTTTTGTTCAGTTTGTAGTCAACCCCCTAGGGGTGAGCGATATTCAATAGACTACGCCTAATGCACTCAGTAAGCTGATTGCTTATTCACCGGACAGTTTGGATAAAATCACGTGACAATATCAGCAGTTGATGGCGAATCATGAATGAATGAATTCAGCCTGTTTTGGAACAGAATGCATTAAATTTGTAATCCAAAAGCAGAGGGAATTCCCCGAAATTGCGTGAAGCAAGCCACCATCTGTCAGAACACCAGGGGGGCATTTCCCATACTCTTGGTTTGGAGCTGTAGAGTACTTTGTCTATTCATGTGGCGAAGTAATCACGTGTTTAAAACCACAAACTGACAGTGAAACCGAGTTTCTCTGTGCGTTTCCTCAGTTGAATTAGACTGACTCCAACTTGGAAAGAACCTTAGAAATCTGACAGATATCTTGTGCATACACTGTGTGCGGCTTCTAGCATGCTGGCATAAGACGCGTGCACTATATCTGCAAATGACGGGTGGTTTATTTGGTTGTGGATGAAATTTGATAGTAGAACATAGGGTTGACGGAAACTCGGGGACTGCGACTACCTGATGAGCCCCAAGAAGGGCGAAACCGGTCGTGGGCTGTCAAGGAGTTTTCAGCAACCATATGAGCAGTGCATTACAGAAATTCGATACGGTTTTCTTCCCCCGGGGCCATCTCCTCTCTCAGCTCTCTTCTCCTCAAACGACGACGCTCCCAAAAAAACACTATCAGTGAGTTCGAAACCACACTGATTGGTCTTTCGAGCAGTTGGACTGGCTTTGATGTTGAACTGAGCTGACGGAGCCTGAGGGTCCAATTCAAACATCCATCATCTTCGAAGTTGCCTTTCAGAAGCGTCACAGCGCCTTCAAAGACTAACCGGCCAGTGGAACATGCTCAGCCGTTTCGCGCAATCTGGGTTCAAGTCGAACATAAGATTGACGGAAACTTGGGAACTGCGCCCACCACCCAAGAAGAGCGAAACCGGTCATGGGCTGTCGAAGAATTTTCAGCCACCCTATGGGTTACGTCAAGAAAACAAGGCATTCAGATATATCGAATATCCTACCACCTGAAACATGGGGCGGCCTGGTGCAGTACATTTACTTGAAGCGGACCATCATAAACAAGAGATTCAGCTGGAATTTAAATGAGTCTGCTGTGAAAACCACGTTGGTATTCTTGGTTTAGTTGTTAGGCAATTCAGGGTCGGTATTTTATGGGTACAATCCTTCTGGCTTGACGCGGTTGAAGGAGTCCCTCCATAAATTGGCCAGTTAAACTAAACGGCCAAATATATGTTCACCTCTGCACAGGACTGCGCAATACATTTGAATGTGCATTCCATCGGAGAATGGCCTATGTGCATTCTTTGGTGGACTTTGTACTCGGCTGGTTGGATAGTACGGGTGTCGCTTTGGACAGGCGTAGATATTTCAGAGCAGCGAAGCATAAATGATGCTCAAAAGCGCCACTCCATGCGTCCGGCGATAAATATCATCACCATCAATAGCATGACATTGATTTTCACCACCGATGCTTCACTACCCTACAACCAAGATTTATTTGAAAGCCTTATTGTAAAGAAAAGTATAAAGATGGACGGGGAAGAGACTTAGTGCTAGCTTACCACAGTCATTCCGAGGTGTCCACACCTCCAGACATTCATTTAGGCACTCAAACGTTTCGTAGTCTCCTTCATACCTCTCTGCCAGGTCAAGGGTTGGTCACCTCTCCGCTTCGGCCACTCTGAGTTGGATGTCGAAAACAGCACTCTCTTTGGCAAACGATGGTCAGGTGTACGCAACACATGTCCCAACCAATATAGCTTCTGATGCTGGACATATTCTTTAATAAAAATACCTGTTGCACAACTGAAAACTCGCTTTCCAATTGCCTGGTTACGGATTCGCCAGCCCACACGAGATAACGGATGTCGAATAGAAGACTTCTCAGTTCCGCTGCGCGAATAGGCCAAGTCTCACGTT